CAAGCTCTGTGTATCCAGAACATAGAACGAACGACGGTTATCCTTCACTAAATTCTTCAGATTACAATGAAACATAATTTCAGAACCGAAAGACTTCCACTCACCAGCAAATTCCAGCCAGTTTTTGAAATGTTCATTATAATGCTCCAGCTGCCAAATGATAACTATTTAAATTTCTAAATCATACTAGTATGTTTCATATGAAACAGATTATATGAAGTTTTATTTTTGTATTCGATGAACAGGAAAACCAGCTAAGAAAACAACTATGAATAGAAAGTAGAATCAGATAAATCATTCAATGGTAATTAATGCCAGTTACATAAAATATATTGGCATTAAAACTAACTCAGTAAAAACGAAAAAACACTCAAAGCTCCAAGAATTAAAACTACTTGAAGAAATTGGCACAGAACTTAATAAGTAACAAATATAACAATATTATGAACTAACACTTCATTTCACTTCTGCTTCGTTCCATAAATATTGGTTTAACCATCGGTTGCGTTGACGGGTCCTCACCAATCTCTTAAAATGCGCTTTATCACTATAGTACTTTTTTCATAAAAAAACTGAGAGTGCGACTTGTTCAGAAGTTAATTTTAAAGAGAATTTCACTTACCATCAGGCAGCTCCCTTTCACTAATATGAGGAAGAAAATTAGTTGAAGTGTCCTCGATCGGAAATGTTTGATTCACATACTAAATGACTATTTTTTATTACCCAGATTCATAAGCAAATTTGACGACTGTCGTTATAAGATTCTCAATCTCAAACACAAAATCTGAATCACAACATCATCGAGAGATTTGATACAGAAAATACAGAACATAGTTTTGGGATTTGAACATAACTTGTGTTAAGAGAATTCTTACAGAAATAAGCGATCGAAGTACGTAACATTTACATTTAGTCACATCGCAAATACATTACGATATTTCTGACAAATTGAAGAAATTAACCTCGTGATTAGCCCGATGCCTTACATCGTACATCACCTCTTTGCTTCTTGCAGCAGACGAAGAGTCTTGCAAGCAGCATAACGCGTTCCCCATCAGACTCGCGATTTACTGGAATTGAACGGGCCGATTCATTTTTCCCGTCATATCTCTCTTACCACTTTTAAGAAATGTTAGCTATATTCTTCTCTACAAATGATATTCACGTAAAAGTATGAAATGGGAGATCCCTTCTCCCAAACTACGAACACGCTAAAGATTTCTTGTATCCGTCTAAAGATTTCTTTGTATTAAATAGTTAACGATGTTACGTAAATTTTATCTGAAAGGTATAATTTAGTGGCAAAATACGATGATGCAATCTTTTACATGAAAACAGCAGTATCGCTACTTAAACCCAAATACTAGCAGCTCAAACTACAAACTTATTGCTATTATATGATAAGACACCGAACAAAACGAAAGCAAGTTTTCATTGTTACCCCCTGTTTCAATAAATTACGGTGACGCAATTTAGAATGAGATTGAAAAGCAGCATGTGAAAATAAGTTTGTATGTGGCACGATGACGTCGTCTGCTGGACGTTAATTCTACATGGGTTATAAGGCAGAGATGCTTGTTAATGAATGGTAACTTTGGGAATATACCAATGATCGATCATAGTCGCGGAATTTAAGATTGCTGAGCATTGATTGGTTGGCTTATTTATTAAGTGAAATAGTAATAACGCTCCACTCTCGTGAAATGACTGCTTGTCAATGAAAGGTTCAAGTTATTCCACTTATAAAAGTCGAACTGCTAGTGGGTGGGTCGTTTTACCATTGTCACACGCTCCTTAACAGGATGTCTTCTTTGGTTTTTTCCTTATTGACAGATCGTTCGTTGTTCTAGTATCCCTGTTCTCTTCCTTTTTCACAATGGTTGGAGAACACTATTAATGCACTGTAATATGGTTTGAGAAAAAATAGATTTGTCAAATGCATCTTTATAATATGCAATGTATTGCAAATATATCGTTATATACGACGTGATTTTAATAATTTTTATTTGCGGTAAAGTTTTTGAGGTTTACTACTCGTTAATTTTCTTAGACCCAAAATGATGAGTGATGGGAAGGACGTACCTAAAGATGGCCGAAACCATCGCACAGTTGAAGAGGGTATGATGGTTGTGGAAGCAGAAGGCGAGATGCATGATGACCACTGGGTATTAGATGATCGCATGAAGAGAATGATTATGGATTTACAAAGACACTGGTTGACAGATTATCAGCAATCCAGAGAGAAATTATTGGTTGAAATGACTGAACGGGTCTGTTTTAACTTCATTTCCTGTAATAGAGTGTGTTCTGCTGTAGACTATAGACTATAAGAGGATGCTACTTCGAAGAGGAAGAATTCAATTCTTTTCATTTGTTATCTCACTAAGGGTGTTTAGAAGTGGTTGCGTTTGCAATACGATAAGGGATTATTCTGCCAGGTAACTTGTAAGCAAAATGTTATGTTTGCTAGAACTTAATGTGCATCTGATGGGACTTGTCATTTACTTTATACTAATTGAGCATTTTTTTTTTGCTTGGAAATTTAACAGATTATTTTATCTTCATATAAAAGATTGACAAATGGCAGACTAGGAACAAACAGTTGGTGAAGAATACCTGTTAAATGTGCGTTTTTCAGCTTCATCAGGAATTTCTTTCTGATCAACAAAAGATTAGGACTGAACTCCTTACGCAATTCAAGGATGAGCTAGATACAACGAGGTTAATGATTATCTGAACTTGAATCTTTCGTTATTCTCACTAAATTTGTTCGGCATTTTCTGTGGTAACTAATTTTTCGCTGCAGAGCTGAATTAGAGGAGAAGTATCGCGAATCTTTGAAAGTTGAATTGGGGAAAATGGCTGAAAAACATAGGAAAGAAATATCAAGTGTCAAGAAAAAACAGTGGTAACTTTTTTCTGGCCGTATTTTATTGATAAGTCGGACTGTGAAAATGATTTACTAATATTCTTTTCACTCACAGATTGAATGATAGAAATAGAAATTCAGACATGTCGTGCTACGATATATTCAGCTATAATAAAACTTCGTCAAACCAGGAGAAACTGAAACTTTTATACTATTTAGTTTTTTGGATAGGATTACTTGCTAGAATATCATTATCCAAATTGAAGGTGTTGGCAGTGCGAAGCTGAAGCAATTTATCATTGCTGTTGGAACACAGCTTATTGCAGTGTGGAATGTCAGCAGAGCCACTGGGCGACTCATCGGAAGTTTTGTCGACGTAAGAAGCAGAATGCCAATACTCACCAGCAGCAGCAACAGCAGCAGCAGAAAAGTAGCAACTAATCTGAAGTAGCATTTTGAAGACAGGATTCTATTTCTTTGTTTATGCCTAGGTGGTTTGAGGATCTCAAGGAAATGCTTGACTTGTAGATGTTGTTTTTTCTTGTCAACATTTAGTGTTTAAACTCTGCTCTGTTTTTTTTTTTTTTTTTTATTGAATGTCGCCGAAATAGGAATGAGATTTTGCTACTTGCTTGATTTATTTGGGTGCTAATTCAAGTTTAATTTTCGCTGCATTATGACTTGTCTCTTAAGAGTCAGTCTAAAGGATAGAGGTTAATAAGGAGAACGATCCGGTATTTTTTTATAATTCATAGTTAGTTTCCTGTGGGCCAATTATAAGCGTTATGCATTTGTACATGTTACTAATTATCTGTTGTACAGTAAGCTTTATGTTGTGTTTTGAGTAACTCTTATTAGGCTTCTCTAATTATTAAAACTTATGTGAGAATCACTATGAAAACGTTCATTTTAGTTATATTCTGGTTATTAATTGCAGTACTGAGAACAAAGTTATTCGTTAATGTATTTCTGTGGTTATCTATCTGAGTCTTGATAACCTACCCTTATATTCATAATAAAGTTGAAGATCATTATTGTGGTCTCGCTACCACTCGGTATTATTCAAGTGGTACTACCACTACCATCAAATTCACTAATGGGTTTCTGACTATGTATAAATTTGTAAGCGTGTATGAGAAATAGGGAAAAAGTTTGTTTTTGTGAAGCTTCTCCATTCTACTGGAGAGACTTGTGGATACTACTTTTTTCTTGCTGTTAATACTTAAACTCTCCTCCGTTTTGTAAAAAACTATCGACCTTATTGACGATTAAATTTTTAATGAATCTGACCTAATGGACTTTTGGGTTGCATTCGTGATGTGGAAAGAAGTTGTCGGTGTTATTTTCCTGTTTGTAGTATTTTCAGGGAATATTGCATGAGACAAATTGCTCACGGAGACAAGACTACAGTTAATGATCCTAGGTGTGTTGGTACTTCGAATCCAAAAAATGAAACACTAAAGCCATGGAAAGTGACTGTGCCACTGCGACCAGTTAATCAAGGTGTGGTGGATTTGGATTTATCCAAACTCTTTGGGTTAATATGTTTCGGCTGCATGTTTATTGGGTCATAAATGATAATATCTTACAACAAAGATATCTTACAAATTAGAATGTGCTTAGTAGAGTACGAATTTGGTGGGAAACTGTTACGGTCCTATCACATTGTCCCATATATCTGATGATATGTGCTTGTTTTTACTGGTTTATGCATTTTCGATATTACAGAAACATGTTGGGATTCAATTCATGCAAAGTTTTTGAAAAGTTCTGGTCATCATTCGACTGTATCTGAAAAAGAGAACAGCATAGATACACAGGTATTTTCTACTGATACAGAGTTATGTGCAACAGTGAAATTTGGGGTTCACTAGAAACCTCTGATGCTTTGTTTTCTCGCTGACGCTATTGTAGATATAAATGGACGCAAGAGAAAGTTCATTTCGTTGCATCCTAGCTGTAATTAGAAGATTATTTTTTCGTGATTTGTTTTTTTGTTTATAACTTACTTTTATTTAAGAATGTAACGCGAACATTACATAAGAAAATGAAGCATAGTACAACTGTTAGCAACGATTTGTCACGTTATGGATTTACGCGGGATAATGACTTGAAAAAAACTTTGTCTTATATGGAGGAGAAATTTACCAGTACGTCCGAAGAACTTCAAGCAGCAGAAGAAGAGTTAGCAGAGCTGAGAGTTGCTTTGAGCAATGCTAATCGAACGATCAAGATTTTACGTATGAAAAATGCGGTATTTTTTGTTGTTTGCTAATACCAAAGAATGATTCTTTATATTTTTATAGAATCTAAGATTTTCTGTCCTAGGACAGACATTTTTTATATCATTGTTTTTGTTCAAAGATTAACTTTGATTCAATCATTGTAGGAACAGGCGGATAAAATCAAATTTTTGACTGCGGAGAAGCAAAAAAATAACTCATCACTGAAAAAGCATAATGTAAGTCCGATTTCTTGAATTTTTATCTGCCCATAATCTGATCAAGATTTATTAAATAACTTCATTATTGAAATTCTTGAAGAAAAGAGGTTTTTAAAAAAAATAAATAAATGAAGATGCAGTTATGAATCACCCTTATTCCTTATTCTTCTTGCTAGATTAATTGTCAATTCAAATTTGAAAAGCATCTCATCACCGTTTGTGAAACATGGAGTGATGTGTTTGACAAGAAAAATGGTTGATATTACTATTGCATTTAGATTTATGAGGTCATCCAGAGCTGCTTTGCGCTCTCTATTACTCGATACAAACCTTTGACACTCGGAAGAGGAGAATCACTGAAAAATTACAAGCATTTAGAGGATATGAAAAATATTTATGAAGTGATTTATGATAGCAGAAGATAACATGCATTTTAGAACGAAGTATTCTTTGTGAAACATGGTCCAAACAGAAATCTTCAAAAACTGGTTAATGAACTTAAGGAGGAGAAAATGGCATTGAATTTGGCTTTAGAAAATAGTAAAGCAGAAGGATCAAAATTTGTACTGGAAAATAATCGCTTAAAAGTTATTATTGAGGTAAATTATTACTGTTGTAATTGTAATTTTATGCACCCTATCTATTTCTTATAGATCGATTATAGGAAGAACGTAAAGAATGGGACCAAATGCAGAAGGATTTGCTGGTTGCCGTAAAAGTAGCAAATGATTTTAAAATGGATGCACAGAAGGAGATGTTCAAATTATCGGAAAGGATAACAGAACTACAAAGAAGACGACAAAGTGCAGCATTTACTGCTCAGCAAAGATCGTCAGCGGTCATATACGAAAAGAATTTTCAAAGCTGGGAAGATAAAGCTTGGCAGAGATTGATGCTTGGTTGTGAGCGTGGTTTGTGTTTCTCTTCATTCATTGCGTTTCTTTTTATTGTTACTTTCTAGAAAATTGTTTCCACATGTTTTCAGGGTCACGACGTAATACTCTTCTTCGGTGGTGTCAAGAAGCAGTTGCTAAATTTCCACATGTTGAGATCACCAACTTTAGCAGTAGTTGGGCGGATGGCAGAGCTCTGTGTTGCTTGTTGGCTTCTTTTTATCCTAACAAACTGAGCATCGATGTTAGTTTTCCTTTATTTCTTATAAATTAACATATATATATAGACTTTTCAGTAGAAATTATGTAAAACGTCTTATATAATTAACCAAGATTAATTCAATTCATCAAGTACCTGATGTATAGGTGTGTTTTGTTTTAGGAAATTTGTACCCTGGGAGCGGAGGAATGCTTAACACTGGCTCTTAATGTTGGTGCTGGTATAGGTGTAGAAGTGAAGATAAAAGTGGCTGATTTTAGAAAAGAGGATCGTCCAGAGTGGTCTCTTATTATGAAGTATATTCTCAATTTATACTATGTTATTTCGGATGGATCTCATTGTTGAACTTTTTTTCTGTCATTTCTTTTCTTGTTTAGTAGTCACCCATAATTTGCTCTGTCTATTTTGCTCTGTCTTTTTCATACTGTGATTCTATTAAGTACTTCTGTATAAAGAGTACCAGAGATTACCTTAGTCATTCAGTACTAACTTTAAGCAAAATATGTCGTATTCAGTGCTTCCAAATCGGGAAAATATTCGAATTGAAGCTTGAGAATGCTTATTTTATTCTTTTATGAGACATATTGAACAGATCATTTCGGCTTGCGCGGGTCTAAGTACGGAACATTTTTTTCTAACCTGCTCACAATTTACAATATGGACTTATGTTATTTTATACTTGTTTCCTGTTGTGAGCATGACAGGACATAATATAGTCAGAGTTTTTCGAAAAATATATTCTTTCTTTATGAAATAAAGATTTTCTTTCACATAAGTATCTGTAATTATAATTCCGTTTACTTGATAAAAATTATTCACTCTTGTGACTCAAACAAATTTAGAACAAAATCGCAAAAAATTAATGTATTGGCGGCAACTAAAATTCTGTCCAGCAAAAAGGTCAAGGAAAATATGAGCTTTGTTGAGGAAAAATTGCCTTCATTGCGAAATTAATCACTTTGACTGTAAAAGTTCTTTGTTTCTACAACTAAAGGAAAACTAATCGGTTTCGATTTCTTTGACCGATGGATGGATTATTATTGACCCTGCCGATTCTTGATAAAATCGAAATTATTAGGTAGAGAGACAACTGCCCTCTTTTTACTACTATGTACTAGAAAAACTTAAGAGATATTTTACCGCGGTTAGTTTCTCCGGTGACATTGTATAGATTGCTGAGTGCTCATAACTCTGTCTTCTCCATATATGTCTTTAATCTATCTCGACTGAAGAATGCTTGGATTTGCTTTATTGCCCGGAGAAATAGTGCTTCGAGGACGGTCACTAATTTACACATATTTTTGGAAATTTTTGATTGAACAAAATGTGGCAGTTGAGTAGATATGTAATATACATATACATATACGTATATATACGTGATGTGTTGAAAAATGGGTGACATTCCCAGTTTACTATTCATAATTTCAGATAGAATAGCGCTTTCTGGGTTCAGAAGCAATTTAGCTGTTTTACATGCTGCAACAAAGCATGATTTGAACAAAAGCTTTAAAAAAACTTTCAAACTTGATTTCCCAGAGAACTCAAAAAGAAATCGCATGAAAGAAAAGAGCGAACAGAGAGCTCACATTTATCTAATCACTTCTTTACTATGGCTTCCTAACACATTGCTGTTTGCACTGAATAATTCTGAATTGTATAGGAACGATCCATCAATCAACAATAGCTCTGCTGATGGGATGATGACCCAAATTTGGATTCCGTCTTTTCTCTCTCCCTTTATTTCGATCTATTTATATTTTCCCACAATTACTCCCTCCCCCTTCGCATGACCTATGTTGGTATATATTATATCTTGTTGTAAATAGTTATAAAGCGACAGGCGTTCTTAACAGTATCTCCTAGTTTTCAAAATAATATCCCACGAAGAATATTATTTCAAAAGTTTTTGAGTTCATTCCATATTTATGTAATTTAAACCTTACGATGAAATCCTATTATTCTTGATGGGGATGCTATTCCCTCAATACAGTGAGAGAAAACTCCCACTCTTCCTAACAATCATCTTCAATACGTATAGTTCTAATTAAGTATTAATTTGCGAAATGTAATCTTAAATGAGTGGATAATTACAATGAATAAATAATTGCTTATTTCCACTTCCCAAGTCACACTTTTCTCGGGTTAAATGATACCCTAATTGTTTTGCTTCAATCATGCAACAAAAAGAATAAAAACAAGAAGTTGAACAGTAAATTAAAAGAAACTTCCCCTTCAGATTTGTCTTTCCAGTATTTTTCGGTACACGGACAGAAGACAAATCTCGTTAAATTATTCATTTCACCATTTTAACAACTTATGCTCATAGTTATATCATCATTGCAGAATGTTTGCATTGAATAATTTTGAACTGTACAGGGACAACTTATCTGGTCTTCACACCGACTACAAATACCGGTAATTACTTTTACTACTTTGTATATCTAAAACTGCTGTCTAACCACTGTGCTTTTGCGAACGTTTGCAAAGTTTTCTCTAAACATTATTTTGTCACGTCACTTTCAAGTGTCCTGCCTGGTATATCTCTAATTCTTCCTTTACTTTTCAGCTTTACCTAAAAGACTCAACGATAAGCAGTAAGAGAAAACTTGTAAACAATCATAGAGGATGTAACCCTGTTCCTCTTTACTTATAGATATGCATTGCCATTCGAAAAGGTGCTTGATCCAGTTGAGAAAACGATATACTTCCAAAAAAATTGGAGTCAAACGATCACTGTTTCCATAGGTTATTTCTTCGTAGTCAAGCTGATCCAATATTTCATGAAATATCGGTCTGCCTTTAATCTACGCTGGCCTTTATTCACTTGGAATCTTTCACTGGCCCTCTTCAACATTCTCGGTTTCATTCGATTTGCTGAAGCAAGTTGTTATTTGTTTTCCGCTCAACTATTTCTTTATCCTTTGTACCTTTGCACCTTTCCACACCTGATCATATTACCTACTGTCGTTGCCTGCTGGTGCTGGTCACAAATCGCTTATTCATCTGACAGTCTATACTATCACTTCTCTCATTCCATTTTCAGGATATGATCCACACACTACTATACCAAGGAATCTATCCATCCTTGTGCTATTCGGTAAATCCCACTGATGTCGCGGCTTACTGGTCTTATTTATTTTTCTTGTCAAAAATCGTGGAGCTCGGTGATACTCTATTTATTGTCCTCAGAAAGAAACGTCTCATTTTTTTGCACTATTACCATCATACTTCAGTACTTATTTATTCCGCCCATTCGGGTAGGTTATCGTGCCACATTGTTATCCTCCTGCAAGTTTTTCATAATTTAAGAAGCTTTCCATAATTTAAGGATTGATTTAATACCAGAATAAGTTACGAATATGGAAGAGAGCTTCCCTTACAGTTTTTGCATTGTAGGTGCCGAAAATACGGGCTCCGGAAAAGCATTTATAATGATGAATTTTCTGGCGCATTCCGCCATGTATACATACTTTGCAGTTGCATCGTATGGAATACGACTGCCCAAGTAAGAATTTACCAGATTTGAGCAGTGTTTCTGTTGGAGTGCTTGATAGGCCCTTTTTTCATTGGATCCTCATTTTGCGTTATTTCTCTTATCAGTCTATATTCTAATAACTTGAACTTTATTTGCTATCTCCTAATAAGTTGAGCTTTATGGTTTCACACACTTTATAACGATCATTTTAGAACAGTATCTATGATACTAACTACAATCCAGACAGTCCAGATGTTCGCAGGAATCACCGTCCTGGCTTATGTTTATAAAATCAAAACTGGAACTAATTTGCCGTAAGTCCCCACCACGTATGTCTACACCATCTTGGATTGGAATTCCTCCTTCCCATAATATTTCCCGCACCCCTTTCCTTGCATTTCAGCTTCGGTTGTATAAGTTGCTGCTCCGCGAATAATAAAATTCATGGGATATATAACCAAAGCAAATATCCATTGACTAAGTTAACTGAAGGTACTGATCAATATTAACTCAAGAGGACGTTATTGAAAATGGAATTTATTTCAGGTGCCAACAATCAATACAAAATCTTCTTTTCGGTACTCTGCTTTATGTCACTTTTGCGGTACTTTTTATCCAGTATTTCATCTCCAATTATTTCCGCAAATCGGATAAAAAGATGAAGTAATCTTCAGCTTCTTTCCAGACACTTTTTATATTACAAAATGAAAGAACCACTGCACTCCAGAGAAATGTTTAAATAAAAATTGCTGTTTGGTTTAATAATTTTTACAGTTTTACAACATAAAACACTACGATGGTAATTTTCCTTATTTTGAACTTTTAAAAATCAAGCAGTAGAATAAAGAGATATGTATGAATTTCACAAGTAAATCAATGATAAGTAAGAGAAAGAATCCCACGGTACGAGCATTTTATGGAATTCATGATCAATGATTTCCTTTTTTCTCTTTAAAAAGCACTCCAGCTGCTAACGTGAACCGCAAATAAGAAAAGAAATCTAACAATATCCACATAATAACTTTTAAAAGCAGGATTGTAACGACACAAGTTAAAAAGCGCTAGTCAGTGGTACAATAACAATACAGCTTTCATTAACAGATAACTTAAGCACAATTAATTACAGTCTGAAGTGTATAAATGACAGCTGTAATAGCTGAAGAAGGACTGACACAAACTTCTCAACAAATCCAGTTTCAACAAGACAAAGAGGAATGTCGCATTTAAACTCCATAACACATTGTTAATTGCATGCAATCCAAGAACTATGAATTCTGAGCTCAAACAACCAAAAACAATCGCTCCGCATCGGTGACTTGCTTTATTCTATATATAAATGCTCTCAGTTCATTGTAAAGAATTATGGAGAGAGAAAAAAACAAACATGAAAATGCAAGAATATAACATAAAGCCAAGATGTTAGGTAAAGATTCCTCCTCTTAATAACATCGAGATTCAGAAGAAACCATATAAACTAAGAAAATAATTTATAATAAAGGTTTTATCGAAACATCCTGAAAGATTTATAGTAACATCCCTTCAGCTAACTTCGAACTTTCCAGCCTAAACTGGCAGCGTGACGATCCACTGCTTTCCGAACATTCATTGCTGTAAGTCGACACACTGGCGACTCCGTCCAGCACTCTTGCATTATTTGCAATACACCTCTCATCACCTGTACTTTCGAAACTGTGATAATATCGTAAAGTCCCCACCACAAATAATACCTTTTGAACTTCATAAAACGCAATGCTTGAGTCATTTAGCATTAAAAAAGTACTTTTTTAATGTGAAAACTCATCAACCTCAGCTGTAATACCCGAAGAAATATATAAAAAAAAGCCTCATCCGGAAACTATAGAAAAGGGAAAACAGAAAATTATAAACCTTATCATCTATCCAATGCTCTTGAACAGTAGGTCGTCGCTTCTGTATACAAACACACAATTTCATCTCCTCCATTGTTGGATCTCGACCTACACAGTCAAAGTACGGTAGTTCAAATGATCTTGATTCTTCTGCAAAATTACTGATTTTAAATGGAATAGTCCAACTTTTTCTGTAAAACCATTGATTTTAGATGAATAAATAGGACATATACGATTCCACACAAGGGACTTTATGAATACATAGCCTTACCTTGGTTTCCGCATCTCCACATGATTTCCCAAATCATAAGACCCATCGCATACATATCAGCAGTTTTATAGGTTTCGAAATGATTTATAGAGAAATTGTCTTCTAGTATCTCTGGTGCCAGATAACGCTACAACGATAGTAACAAATTAATGACAAATAAAAAATACCTCTCCAATAACATTAAAAATAATTAGTATGCAGATTTTTTTTCGTGTGTGTATTCTTTATGATGACGAGTTTTTAGAAACAATTAAAATAATGATTTAATATAATTCTGAAGCAATAAACATCACTTTTTTGTCCTATTTGCCATGTGTTATATTATTCTTCTATAATATTTTACAAAAGACGCAAAACACTCATGCAGAAAAATAATATTACAGTAAAAAAACAAGAAATATTTCTGTTAGAAATGCTGAATGTTGCAATTGTCATTTTTAAAGAACCTGAGAAAAAATTGATCAACAGTGAGAATGAAACTAATTGGTTAAAACACACTCAAGATAGCACACCAAGATAAAGATTTCGGAAATGAAATTCAGGCTACACTTAAACTGTAAAAAATATGAACTTGTTTTTGCAAGGTGTATTTGATTATTTACAGGATGAAACTTACGACAGTGCCACACTTGCTATTATCAGGAACATTTATCTCACCATTCATGTATCTCACTGCCAAACCAAGGTCAGCAATCACACAGGTCAAATCTGACTTTACCAAGATGTTTTTCGACTTCAAATCACGATGAGCAATTGCTGGCTTCCCTGTAATCATTTTGTTAAAATTCTGTTAGATGTTATATGCGTATTACAGATATTACTTTAAGAAAAAAAGAAACTTCCCACGTGGACCAGGAATTTCGTTGTGCAAAAAAGACAAGCCAACTGCAATACTGCGAATCATTTGCAGCATCACTGATTCACTGACAGGATACGCAGACAGATAGTCATAAAGAGAACCATGTTCGTGATATTCAGTTATCAACCACAGCTGGGTACTCGTTCCAGTATCTGTAAATTATATATCATTCAGATATCAATGGAAAAAAATCAAACATTTTTCGCAAAATTTTTAATGATGGTGTAAATACATGTCAGAATCATAAAAATCTTCAAGAAACTTCAAAAAAAAAAAAACATTTTGTTTAAACAAGTATTGATTTTTATCGTAACACTCAGAAAATAGCAAGCCAGCAGATATCCAACTCGTATGACATATTCAGATAAATATTATATTGTCATAATTATTAAAAAAAAAAAAACAGTCCTTATAGATTCTTCAGAAGTCACATATTTGCTAAACGAAATATCTCTAGAGAAATACAAAATATCTTTCGAGTTTTTTAAACCAGTCTGAAGCTTATTAAAAATAGTTCAGAAGGGGCAAAAATATGACTTTTGCAGAATCTGATAATCATAATGCAGATTCCTCGGTTAAGCGTACTGAATGTTGGAATGATATTTCATTAACCAACTTGAAATATATAAATTATGCAATAAGTAAAGAAAGAAACCAATACTACAAAGATTCAGTACCTTTATTGTCAGATGCGATAAAGCGAAGCAAATTCGGGTGTCGAAGAAGATTTGTTTGGAAAATTTCGACTTCTCGATTCCATGACCTTTCGTCACGTGAACTAAATATCTTCACAGCAACCTCGTCACCTTTCCAATAACCCAACCAGACCTATAAGGATGGGATCACTAAAATGTATTAACGTATAGCGTATTAAATCAAAAAAAAAATTATGGTTTCTTCTTTAAGATATCTTTTGTTCAAAATGACAGAAAAATCACTTCTCCAAAGCGTCCTTGTCCAATTTCTTTCTGTAATTCGATCTGACGAGCGATAGTACGTTGAGCAAGTAATGGAAATCCTGGAAATTTGTAAATGGAACAATAATTTTAATAGTATTATTACAGTTTTTTAAACCAATTAAGTTATTAGGTTATTTTGCCCTATCTTTTTTTTTTTTTTGCTCAAGTTACGTAATAAATTTCCTTACTCTTTTTTTTTATCATTATTTTTTCAGTTTCATTCGCAGCATCTCATTCGAAGATAGACTTAATCAAATAATTAGTAACAGAAAAAAAAGTGTACCTGAACCAGAACCCGTAGTGGCAGAATCATCTAAATTATACAGTAAATCGCTCAAGTGTCCTAAAGCATCCGTTGAGTTCATTAGTAGTTTTTCTTCACCAGTACTTGAAACAATACTTGTTTTATTTCCGCAATCGATGCTGTGCTATACTAATTTCACTGATGCATTGGAAAGAAGTGATTAGTAACTAGTGTCATGATTTCCTTTAATTGAAGAAGATAAGAAAATGAGAACCATTCTAGTGTTTCCCTTGATTAATAAGCTTGAATTTGAAAACATATAACTAAAGATGATTGCTTACACTTCAGAGTGCTCCTCGCCAGAACTATGATGTGTCCAGTAAAATAACCACCGCTTTAATGGCTTGTTGATCCAAGCAAAAACTAAGAATATAGAAAACACAAAAACGGCAATTCCTATTAAAAAGATAACCACAGAGTGAATGAATGATATATTGTTGTCCTGAAACTGCAGAAATAAAAAAGATAAACGAGGAAAATCATAACAGTGCTAACAAATATAGTAGTCTACTCGTTTTCAAAGAAACGTTTTCTATCCTTACAACTTGCCATGAGTACTCTTGTAAAAACAATGCATGCATATTTTCATGTCTTTTATAAATGTATAAACAATTAACAATATAATTTAGAATTGCTTTACACCGTGTTACTGTCCTATTAATCAGAATGATAAGTGGGTCTTACTGTCTTAATAATCGGAATGATAAGAAAATGTTAATAAAAAATTGTAACTTTTGTATCTTACCAAAATGTAGTCATTCACTGGATTCAAATTCAAAGCTCCATTGCAGAACGAGTAGTTCTGGCAACACTGCATTATACTTCCATCGTTCATCGGTTGTTTAGCTCGGCAGTGCAAATCAGGACTAGCATCTTTGCTTAGACAACTGAAACTGTCCTTTATTTGACTATAATAGTTCATTTTTTTGTTGCTAACTCCCAAGAACATGAAATCATGTTCACGATTTGCATAGAACAAGCATATTTTTTCCGTTCATTTTTCAGTGAACTGCTATAGAAATCATTAGTCGCAAAAAAGAAGCTTACTTTCTGTTACCTTAATATAAAAAAGCACATCAGTACCAACCTTAAGATAACCGATCGATCGGGTAGTAAACGCTTGTGGCATATTCCACTAGTGGACCGACAAAGTCCTGTGTAATTGTTTCCCAGAAAACGAGTAATTTCTTCACCGCAACCAGAATATGAGCAATTGCAAATCAATTCCTCAGATAAATTTATCGGTTCCTTCAGATCTAAAATCTACACAAGAATCACAAAACACGAATTACAGATTTGCTGCAATGTGATGGTTGTGATGAACATTATCTTGAACACACCTCTTTACTAGTCGACAAAAAAATTCTTATTCGTAAAGTTCTTGACCAAAAAAGAAAATCCATTTGCAGCATAGTTCAAAACTGAAAGTTAGGAATGACAGCACTAACTTGCTTGAAATCGTTCCATAAACTTCAGGATAACATATCCAGGATCACTGTTATCCTTAATAGCTCTTGTAACAATTACAAAAAGTAAAACGAAGGATGATAATGTCTGCATTGTTTCCTTTTGAATTACTACTGCTCAATCAACCATATCGAGGAATAGTTTGCAAAATTAATTCACGTAGCATTCATGAAAGAATATCAATATCAGTTTGGAAGTATATTTTTTGATCACTCTGAGTATGCCGAAGAGAACAGGCTGGAATAAGTAAATGAAGAAAGTGACTGATTAACCTTTAGTTGTTTGTACTAACGCTGATATTTAGATTTAATCAACACTGTCAAATACCTAATGAAATTTAAAATTATTAATTGGCAGCTAACGTCCTTAATGGTTACTTTGGATAATATGCAACAACTCTGCCGAAAGTTTTAACAACGTAATTAATAAGTCAGGAATTATACTCTTTTTTTTTTCTCTCTGATACACATCTCAAATGATACTATAATCTCAATAAATACGAGGATGAAAGAATGACAATTAAACATTCAAAACTGAGGAGAACGTTCAAATTAATCAGTCCAACTTCAGAGATGTTCCGACAACTTCCCTGCCACAGTTCACATCAATCCCATCCTTTCTTTTTATCATCTCATAATCACTAGCAGAGATAACCTGTCCATTCATCCTTTACTTTCCCTCATATGTCTATGTCTGACAGATTGAAAGCTTACAGGAATTTTGCTCGTTAATTCCCATTTAGTGATAGCTTCTTTGATAATGACTCAAAAACTTACACTGAAGATGAGTGAGTGAACTTTCATAACTTAAAATTAAACTTTGATAAACTTGAACTTAAATGTGATAAACATAGATCTAAGCAAAACTATTACATTAATACCGCACTATAACACAATAAAAGACAAACAGATGACTGACGCACATACACACGGACGTGGTTTACAACGTAAAGGTTTGTATTCACATTGCAAATGGATGTCGAGAGGATGTCACAGTAAGCAGTGGACTAATGATATATTTAATCTTTGAATTAGTTTAGTATTAAGGGTCATCACAGTCAATGAATTGTAGGCCGCCATAGCTGCGTGAGGAATCATTAGATGGTCAATGTCGTCGATAGCTACTGATGAAGATATCGTAGATAGATGGATTGAAATTGACGATTCAATCAGTGTTCCCGAGCAAACCCTCGATGAGATTCTTGCCGATGTAAGCATTAAACAATGTAATCTTTATTTTCTCTTTCCTCTACAAATTGATTTGGACTGACTGATATATCGCATATTATTTTTATAGAAAATCTTGGATTTGGATGAGGAGATACTGTGTGGACTGGATGATGAGGAGTCACTATTCACATCGCCGCGACAGTCGAGCCCGGCATCATCTGTTCCTTCCTATACGTTGGACTCGCCCCTTCATATCAGAGAATTAGGTGGCCCTTCTTTATTATATTAAAGGATGACATTGCGCTGGAGAAAAAAGTGAAAAACGATAGTTTAACAGAAAAGGCATAAGCATGAGTTACCAATTTGTTTCTTGTGACTCGTAAGTCAGTATCACTGCACTGACGATCACTTATTCAATAATGACAGATTTTTACTTTCTATCAAAACTACTTGATCAGGCTGAACTTTAACCTTAACTAGCTTAACTACAATGTGGCATTTATATCTCCAAAAGTACCATCATGTTTGGATATGCCCTAATTCTCCTATATGTGCTGACAGATTGTATCAAACATAGAAGACCTTAATTTTAGATCACTGTAATCTACTCCTTTAATTAGGTAGCAGCATTGATTTCTCACACATTCTCTTTCGTAATGTTGAGGTTGTTGTCAGTAAGTGTTACAGAATCCATGACATATCAGTTGAAGACACGGAGCGATAGTTTTGGAGGTCGTGCTAGAGCCTTGGCCGTTTCTAATGCTAACGTTGCAGTCGGAACGAGTCGTGGATTAGTACTGATTTTTGACTGTGAAAATCAAAGGTTACTACAACGTTTTCTTTTCGTTTCTTCATTTTTGATGCAGATATTCACAGAGACATGCTATTTTTGCTTTACAGACTAGTTCACTCAATGACAACAGACGGTTGCCCTGTATCGTGTCTTGACTTCAACAAAGCTAGTACACTTTTGGCCATTGGTTATGGTTCCGGTCTAATACGTATATTTAATGTTACTATGGGTAAAGTAATGGACAACGTCAGTGACGTAGTGCAACCTGGTCAAGGCGTACTGCAAATTCTTTTTTGTGAAAGGTGTAGTTTTTATTTGTTCATAGTATTTTGTTGTTCTTTCCTTTTTTAAATACACTTTTACTTATTGGTTGGGATCAGAACGGTTTTATGAGTTGTTAATCAGCTACAATAAAAGCTTGAAAGAGGAATTTTATTACATTTATGGTTACAGATTGTAAATAGCTTTATGGGTTATCAATATCTTACAAATAAAACCATTAATTTCTGCTCTTATCTTTACTGCTTCAGTGACAAGAGACTTGCTTGTCTTGACAGTGGAGGTTCGGTTTATGAACTAACATTACCAACAACAGTTCGATCACGGAAAACTCGCTGTGTTTTCTCGGGTTCTCATGGAGAGGTCACTATTTGAAAAAAATTTAATCAGTTACTTTCTCTGATTATGAAAATGTGATTTTCAAAATGTGATTCTAGGTCGTATATTTGAAATTGTTGGACAGCGATGTCTTAGCTCTCTTATCACTCAAGAAATTGTTTCTAGTAAGCTTGAAGAAGATGTGTTTGATATATGCTATTTCATTCATTGGACCGGCCAATCGCCCACCTTTAATTGATTGTCAGACAGTAAATATCAAGGTAGGCTTATTGCATGTGTCATTTACATTGGTTGCTACGCTGGTCTACGCTCGTTTCAAATATTCATTATTATGCTTATTTAATGTGGCATATCCAAGTTATGTGGTTGGAACGTACAACAGAAGTCCGAAAAAAAGTTGAAACATGCTGTATTTCCGAATTTCTAAGCGTGCCTTACTTTAACCTTGCAGGAAACATCAGAAAGTAAAAACACTGCTTTCTGTCTGGCACGTGGTTCGAGAGTTGATTTCTATTACTTAAATTATGAATTTTCAAGTTTGCGAGTTCTGCGTTATGGGTAAGTTCCTGCACTCTTTCTTGAGTTATTGCATAAACTCCGCAAAGAATTTGCAAAGTCCTCCGAAAAACTTGTGTTTTTGTTCGTATTTTTTGTTTCATCTTTGTACGTCTGATTTTCAAGATCAACTTTTGCTTTTGAGAAAGTATATTGAATATTGTATCGAACTGCAATATAGCTGATATCTTTAATTGAATATATCTGTTTATTTGAATTTCAGACTTTCTAAGTTCTACTTTGGATAGGGGAGGTTTTTATTCTTTTATGATTTTGTTCCACTTTTATCAGCAGATTTATTTCTGTCCATCGCCTTTTCGCCTTTATTTTCTAGAGAATTATCATTGGATTTTGACATGATAAATCTAAAGTGGGTAGAGTCATGTTACTTGATCGCCGTGGATGATGTTGAAAGGGTTCATATGATCGAGACTATGCAAGGAGATATTGCAATGGAAAATATTCGCGATATACAACTAGCATATGCTACTGCTGATTTCAAGGTACGATGTATGAATAAAATAGGGCAGAAGGTTAGACGAAGAATAACACTAAAGAATTCTTTTGCAGGGCTTATCTACTGGAGGTAATGTAAGTGCTGCCTTGGATTATTTGGCTGATTGCGTATGTTATCAATCTATTTGTCGCGTTGAAAAAATGATATTTCTTCTCGGCCAGTCTTCTATTTATATGATCTCCATAAGAGACCGAATAACGCAATTGGAAAACTTAGTTAACCGGTTATTTTTATTGTGAAATTACTGTAGTATTAAAATTTTCTAAATATGGACTTATTGAGTCACATTATTTTCAATATTTCAAAAGATAAAGAAAGCAGAATTTTAGAGGACAAATGGTATCAGCGATTCTTTTTGCTCTTGATATTGTTATGGGCAGAGTCGTTAATAAAAGGGAAGGACTAAATTTGAGACATGTCGTTTCTTCGCGAATTCCTAGTCTTATTCAGTCGTTGCTAGCTTTGACCATATCTGGTCCAGCCAATGGAAAAGTGACACAACTTGTTGATCACTATAAAGTGAGTAAAGTTGCTGTTATAAGTATAGAAGCGGAAGTAAGTATTCAGTAAGAGTTTTACCACAATTTGGTTTGTTAAAATAGCTTTATTAAAATTTATGTAGAAAGATATATACAGTGTATGTGATCCACAGCTATCAACATCGTAATCTTATAATTTTTATCCTTCCTCATAAACGAGAAAAACCTTATCTTATTTCGGTAACTTACAGAAACATATCCAGCTCCTCATACGAGCATGTGTTGCTACCAGTCAATTTGATTTACTCTATAATACAGTGTACAGTTGCTTAGAAAGAGACACCCTTTCCAAGGCAATATTTTACGACCTCATCGATGAAGTTGTATTGGATGGGCGATTGGAAAACCCACCTCCTGCATTAGTTCGTCTTTCATTTTATTTATTAGTTTACCGTCGTGTAAAGTTTACCTTCTCTTTGTTATTTTTTGACTGGCAGTATAGCTTAGATTTATTATGATTTATTGCAAGTTTCCTGGAACCACATTTGTCTTTAGTAGCGGAGATATTAGAAAATGCGTTTTACTGGTGACTGAAAATAATTCCGATGATGAAAGTGCTTATTTTAGGTTTCGGATTATTTTCATCATTTGATATCAGAAGGAAATTTAAACCAATTTGAAGCAGCGGTAGTGCGTATTCCAGTTGAGAAACAGGATATTCATTTTGTGATGACTACTTGCAGAAAAAATAGACTTTATGACGGCGTCATATATGTTTACAATAAGGCAATGTCAGATTATATAGGGCCACTTGAGGTAAGCATGCTTGTTTTAATAATTACTCATTTATGTTCCAAAATTTTTTGTCAATTTAAATCCTGGTGTAAAAATTTTCAATTTCCTAAACGAAAGCCTAAACGCTACATAAATAAAATCTTTATCAGTGAATATTACAGGAGATATTTGATAATTTAGCAGAGCTTACCGATTGTGAAATGCTATCAGACTGCGAAATAGCGCTAGGAAATAAGTTATTATTGTATATTCAGTGTTGCTTGTCGGCCAGAGCTTACCCAATTGGATCTTTGCCGGAAAAAGTTGCTGCAACTCTTCCCTTGCAAGTGTATCGCTGCCTGATTTCCTACAAAGGCAAGAATGGTACATCAGGTAATTTCTTATCTCACCTATCATTGCCGTTCATTCGCTAAGTAATTTGCAGATCTGCTTTTTTCAACAGTATATTTTTCAGCTTCAATTACATATCCATATTTACAACTGCTTATTAAGTTTGACGCTGTTCAGTTCTTTAATGTTATATTTACATGTTCAGACAGTGATATTTTTAATTCAGAGTAAGTTTATTTCTACTTAACGCCCAAAAACACTTTCTCGCTAGTTTATCAGCTTCTTTTAAAAAAAACCTTTGTTTTGTGGACTGCCGTGCCTTATTGATCAGCATAGAATAAAGTTTTTTTTTTTTTTCTAAGTATATTGCGAAAAATGCGCACAATTATGCTGTGGAACTGTTATGTGGAACTACTCGCTATTACTAATCTCAGCTAGAGTGAGATATTCCAATTAAATTTCATGAAAACCGAACATTTTAGATGCCCACCAATTTACTGCATCTCATTTCTCATCAATTTGAATTAAAATTCCATAGTTTTAGAGACGGGAGATTACAGAGAATTACAGAAGTGGTGTATCAAATAATTAAGTCGATGGATCGAAGTGCAGTACTCTTTATCAATTATTTCACTCTTGTTGCTTATCTGTTGCAGAAAAAAGCAATTTTTCCAGCGCTTGGCACCATCAATGAGGTAAAACTTGGCTGAGAGTTTTTTCGTTACAGCTACGACTGATACAGACTCGAAAATTTATTTCTAAACGTTGTACCTTCCAAATGCATTTGTATTACAGTTGATTGAGATGGTATTATCATTTGGTGAGTCTGTTGAGCGGGTAGCAGATGCTGAGAGATGTGTTGTGGAGGTAATGAAAATTGTGAATGGTCTTGATGAGATGAAGATATTGCGACAAGCCAGAAAACTACCTCAGTATGTCCATTTTAGTTTTGAACCAGTTGTCTTCATTTTCTTAGGAACATTTTACATCTTATATATTATCGGAATGAAACTTTATAATTGAAATTTGTTGACTTATCAACCAAAGGAATCGAATGTAGTTTCACTCTGATGGAAATAATGCCAACTGCAAAAATTCCTTTTCAATATCGGCTATTACATTCTTCATCATTGTGGTTCGGAGCAATACACCTGCAAATCGACGAATGTAATTGAACCGCAATATAGAACCTCGCTTAAACTTTGAAGTGGATAGAAATATCGTAAACGATTCGTAATTTGGTTTTTATTTGTTAGTATTGGAGGCAAATAGTATGTAACGCTAACCTGATTCATATTTAAGGTTACTTCTTCAATGATATTGGGTTATATTTATTCTTGAATTCAAAAAAACTTCAATGAACGTAAGAGAATTCGTCCGGGTGTCATTGTCTATAAATAAGGAAGATAGAAAAACGTGAGAATCTCTGATAAATGACTGGCCAATAGATGAAAGAAGCTATTGCGACTTGTAATATATCCCTCAGAGCAATTTCATGTCAGATGCAACAAGTTGGCGTATTATAAGGGCATATACACACATAGCTATCAAGGACTTTCAAGGAATTAAAATGTGATGCTTGCTAAATGTCGAATCGCGGCAATTATACTCCGATTAGAGTTATTAACAACACTTTAAAAAAAATAAGTGTGCACTAGTCCAGAACCGTTTCGATTACAACCAAACTCAAGTAGAAGGAATAAAAAAGGCGAAATTCTGTTTCGTTGAATTCTAAGTAAGTATAATCTTGTTGATATTACAACAATGAAACTCTCTCTCTCTGACAAAACTTGAGAATTACGAAATATGGTGGGAAGACCACCATGGATGAAACAGAACCAACTGGCCACAGTGGGAATATGACTTCGATGGAAGCTTTGCAAATGATGAAAAAAATGCAATTCTTGTCGTAAAGGTCAAAAAGCAAATCGTAAAAAGAAGTTTCAAACTTATAGATGCTAGTCACAACTTTTTCTTCTTTGGTTTCATTTGAGTATTTTTAGCTTGCAGGTCTGCTCATACATTTATGTAAACAGACGGGAATTCGTCAGTTTAATGGAGTGTTATCTTAGTAGCTCAACGAATGCAGTATGTTTTTTTTTCTTTCAATTACTGTTTCCTACTTAAACTTCAATGAATGTATCTTCATGAATTTGAAGTAACTTAATAATTATACATATTTCCATGCGCTCGTATTTCCTCTGGTGAGAACATTATTGTTAGAACTACAAGGCGATGAATTATCAAATTTTTATTCGTTTGTATGGAATTCCTTAAAGGTATTTTAACTTCAGTTTCTGCAAGTTTTATGTGTGAGGTATTGGTGTTGAGATGATAAATTTCTAAAGAGATTTGCTTTACTACTTGCTGTAATTTCTTACGCTAGGTGAGTATTTATTTTCTTTCATTTCATCGCTCACTTTTCATAAGTTTAAAATTGTCGGTATCTTGTTTTTGTTTTGTTTTGTTAATAGTTCATTTCCACTCATTTTTTTTCTGGATTTTTTTCTAGTTATAGAGATTCGCTAAAATCGATTATAATCAGACAGCCGAAATTATTCTTGATCACTTTATGGATTGGCTATCCAAGGAAACATTGGAAGACAGTGATGCATTAATACTTTATTATTGCTTCTTAGCAAGGTTTATTTTGTTCTTGTTGAATGTGTCTGAAATGTTTTTTAATTGGAATAATTTTGTCTTTTAAAAGCTTCCTTGTTGTGATCTATAAAAACAGTTGTGGTTGACGGGGTCTTCTGAATAATCTGTTTTAGGCGTGATCGTGGATATCGGACTTTAACCGATTCTGAGGAACGTGATGAACAGCTTTTGATTCTTGCTGTAAAGGAAGCTGTAGTACATAATTTATTTGAAAATCTAGACACGGTAATCAAAATTCTTTCTACACTTCAGCACCATAAATTTTGTCTGTCTCAGTAACCAATATCGAATCAAGTATGTCTGGTTTCAGCAATTAAGTGAGTTTCTGCGGTATTGGCTAACGATAGCATCGAGAACAGATCGATGCTTGAATTATACAGTGAAAAATGGATTTATTTTGTCAAGTGTGTTACTTTTGGAAGCTAGGAAACTTCTGGAAGGAGCTTTTGAACTGCTTGAATATGAACTTGAAAAAAGATGGATGAAAGATGCAATGCTTTCATGTAAATTTTCAGTCTTATATAAAAATCCTTGAGTTATAAAATTGAAAAAGAAGATAAACAAAACTGGTTTCTCTTCAGCGAAATATATTTACGAAGCAATTCGTTTGGCTAATATTTATCATGAAGAGGCTCGACAAGGAAGCTGGTTGTTCAAAATACTGAATAGAATCCTTTCGCTTCCAGAATCAGAACTTCAGGAGGAGCCAGGTGGGATATAATATATTTTGTTCCAAAATATGCTCATTTTGAATAATCTATATGCCAAATCATAACTGCACTATTTGTAGTACCGTTGGATTATCCTGTTTATGGTATTTACAAATCATTTAAAGATTCCACCGCAAATATCATTTTGAAGTTGTGATGTCCTTAATACTTGTGTCATGTTTTCTCAAGATAATATATGCAACACATAATTTATTGCTCTATATCACATAGAGTTTATAGTGCTCAGTATATCGACTTCAACATTGATTATAAGTAATTTTGTAGCCGATTCATGTTTTCTTACCAGATTATGAATGATATGGTAGAAGTTTTTGAAATAAAACAATGTAATATTAGGTCTTAAAGGTGTGATGGTGATATTGAACAACGTAATCACTGCAATTATGGAAAGTGGAAGCAGTGATGCAGAACGTTTGGTTGATGCTTTATTTACCCACCCAGTATTTCGGTACCATCTATTTCTTTTCTTACACAAAAGATTTCACATTTCCTTGACTGATTCTGTAGGCGGTAATATTTTTGTCTCAAAGGCTAAGCCATGCATGTCTAAATTCAAATAAACTTGTAACAGTGAAACCACGATCAGCTCATTATAACAAAGAAAATATTGTTGATGTTCTTCGAAGAACGAGGTCTCATTATTTTAATGAGAGAAAATTGCAGATGTTCAACATATGCAAATTTTCGTTCACTAATAACGTTCATGTTCTCATCATGTCGCTACGAGGATGTATTCTTGAAAGAAACCATACGATGTATCGAGGGAGAAACTATACAAATGTATATCTATTTACCTTTATTTCGCATAATGTTTAAACTGTTGTGAAAGTCGACTATATTTGATATTAACAGTTATCAAGTATGGTTAATAGAGTAGTTAGTTGATATAAATTTGAACTGTCAGGATTTCATTTCAAATTCAACACATCATGATGTTTTCATAGATTTGGGATACGAATAGAGACAAGTTTCATCACTCAGTTAGATTCTGATAAACAGATTCGTAGGTTAAACGATTTAATAAAGCAAGCGACACGTCGTACTGCTGGCTTAATCAAATCGACTATGTGCATTAGTTGTGGGTGCTCACCAAGAAAATCATCATATCTATATAGGCATGTTTTTTAATGTCTTTTTTAGCACTATATGTCTCTGTGCTTTTCTGGTTTTTGTACTAATTTCAGATCAAAATTTATTTCCCATTTTAGTTGTGGCCATATGGTTCATATGGACTGTGATTCCGAGAACAGTTCGCATTATTGTTTGTGTCAGATAAATGCTTTCAATTGTTGTAATATTACAAACAATTTGATTTGCGGATCCAGTCAAGTGACTCGAAAACCAGCGAGAGTTGATATCTTTTCGGAAGAGTCTCTGAAACTACTACTGGGACCACACAGACTGGAATCTTAGGTTTTGCACTTTATATATTTTTTTATGATTTTAAAAGTATTGTGCTTTAATACTGACGAAAGTAGTTTTCACTTAAATCAGCACATATATATATATATTTGCTTACGTAATAGTACATTTGTGAATGCATCTGAATTATTCGTTCTCAATGAACTTCCTCACAAAATATTTTAAAAGTGTTTCAGAGACACAAGCCTAGAAATCATATGTATGTATGGCCTTCTGACTTCTATATCTTTGGGCCTAGTTTAACCTAGCAATTTTATATTTATTAATAGGATGTTGCTGTAGGAAAAAACCAAAAAGTCTATTTTATCCCTTTGAATAATATAGGATCTGTAATTGGGAATTGATATTCATACAAATTTATAAGTCAGTGCTGGCCAATTTATTTTCCTGGTTCAAGCCTTGACCATATAGTGTAAAGTAATGCATTTTATTTTTATTGTTTAAGCAATTTACGAATGTCTAAATCACAAAAAGGCAGTTGCATTACAGCAAATTTATAATAAATAGCTACAACTAAAGCTACAAGAATTTTCGAAAGTCAGAAAAACCAAAAAGTGCCTTGAAATATACTTTTGTTCGGAAAATAATTTGAAAACTTCATCCTTTTTGTTTCTTATTGTCGTGAAGTGAATAATGTCATGAAAATCTTATTCGCTAGTAACCGCAATAAAATCAACACCACGAATGTGTTTATAAGTTCATAGTATTTGCCTACAAATACAAATAGAATCAACGAAAATTATAAAAAAGGAGGGTTCGCTACGGCGATTGCTCACCGACGGTCGTATTTGGTTCTTATTGAAACTATACACTCTTGAACATAAGTGATCTTGAACATTCTATGTTTCTTAATGGAATTTATTCCATAGAATGAATTTTCATCTGACTAAGAAAAATAGAATGAATGAAAGGCTTGGAAATGTCGGAACAATGTTAGTATCTATTTATTGTTTTCGCACTCTTACTGTGGAATCTCATAACGAAGAAATGAAAGATGTGAAAACACTCGATTGAATGAATCGAATATTTCCATTCCACTCAGTTGGAAAATTATAAATGTAATATGATGTAGTGATGGCGTGAGGACTTCAGATGTTCCACTTCCCATATGGTTTTGCATTAAATACATTTTACCGCACTTCTCCAGTCTTCTTTTGTTATAGCGTTTTCCAAATGATCATTGAGATGTTTTCTACTTCTGCTATACTCACTTGTCGGTTCAAGTTTATGCATATGAATTCTTTAAGAAATAAATTTCAATAAAATAAAGTAACGCTATCAACGAATGCAGATGGTACATTTGGTTGTCATTATTGTTATTACCTCACTATTTTGGTTTCTGTTTAAGTAACTATATTACTGACAGTAAATATTGGAAGTGAAAGCGAATTTAAGTTGGTTTTTTTTTAATTAAATTTTTATGCTTCAAATGAGTTCTTTGCTTGTAAGTCTCAGCAAGGAAATGATTCAAATAAATTTATGACAATAAAGATTGATCCACAACATCCTTAACAATGAAAAGCACATTAACTTAACCATTTCTGTAAGCATTTTTGTGTTTAACTATCACCTCAGACATTAATAGCATCGTCTTTCTCAATGCGTGCACGTTTCTTAGCCGATCTTTTCTGATCATTTCGTACTCGTTCCTCTTTCTCAGCCTCCTCACCCAATTCCTCTACTCGCTGTCGTAATTTTTCGGCATCTATACGGAAATCTCGAACACCAATCGAATTGTTCCTAACCTGTACATCTAGTCGATGATCGTGCAGGGCTGAGCACAGCAACAAGAGATTAGCCTTAAACAGATGGTTGTAGTGACTTTCGAAGGATTAGATCAACAAATTAGTTCTTCCTGCTTTCAGTAATCCACTTTATATTAGTCGTCTCCATACTATCTTCAATCACAATTTTTGTGTCTGAACAAAGATTCCAAGTAGAACTGATTTAGCAGTATATGGTGATAACACTCAGTGCCAAATCTGCATGCATCACTGCTAATAACCTTCGCAATGAATACAGCTGCTATGAAAACGATTTTTTTCACTATCTTTAACAGTACATGTAAAATGCATGTCAAAGATATTCAGCTGGTCCGTGCAAAGTTTACTGTCAGATTTTTTTTTGATAGGTATCAGACTAACAAACCTGATAAAGTTCTCTTGATCGTACATAAGCAACATAAAGCGTTTCATCCTTGTGCGACTTCGATACTTTTCGGTTATGAGTAAGAGACGGTTCCTTTAATAAAATTCAAAGGTGCAAATCCGCTCGAATTTAAGCTATAGTTCATATCGTCAGAGAAAGAAAACGAAATCATGATAATAACATACATCAAGCGGATTCAGTGTTCCTACATTTTCGTCAGCGTTCTCCATAATTCGTAGGATACTGCCATGAGCAAGCGATGCTAATTTAGCTACAGCCATCCACTCAGAAATGTCACTATATTTGTGTGTCTTCAGCATCTTCAATATTCCTTATTTGTTTAACTTTACTTTTCTTCGTGAAAACATTAAAAGAGAGCTTTCGAAAACGAAGACTTCCTTCGCTAGCATTATTACTTTCAAAGATTTTTAAAAATAACTTTTGAAAGTATCACTACTTTTAATCAGCTTTCAAATATCATTTTTAAAAAATTTCTTTTTTGAATAAAAAAAAAAAAAATTTTTTCCGTTGCTATGGAAAAAAAGTTCTCCGCACACGACCATTATATAGGGTATGATGTAATGAGAGAAGAAATATGATTCAAACTGTTAGTGCTTTAAAAAATTGAAACCAACCAATTTAACAACTACATTGAGCACTTCGTATTGCGCAGTTAACAATGCACAAATCGGCTCTTTGGCCACTGCATAATCAATGTGTACTGAGAGCAATAGAAGAACTACATCAGCTAATTTACTGCACAAATCGATTACTTTGACGAGACCAACATCCACTAAAAAACGAAGCTATGAAAAAGATATAATGAAACATTTTGGAAAGTTTCTAAATAACCATTTAGCTGAAATTTAATGAAAATTGCTAACTTGAGGATATGGAAATCTGAGACATCATTTCGGCAGTCAAACGTGCATCTGATAGAGAGGCTGAGCAGGCTGCAGCCAGCATTTCTGCACTTGTTTCCACTGTTAAATCGTTTATAGATGCCAACAAGTGAATGCTTTCCTACCAAAATGTATAAAAAATTTTTAATAAGGTAAGAAAAATTATTATAAACCTGAATAACTGCTGTTTCTTAATCAATGAAAACCATAATTTATTAAAAACTCAGAACGCACTTTTTCCTTATTGCTCAGGACAGTTATTATTTGAGTGGCGGCACTTCGCAAAAAATTCGTATAATTATTATTACAGCTACCAGCTCGTTCGATATACATATAAAGATACCAAATCTCTTTTAGTATGGTTTTATCACCTGAAGCAAAATATCACAAACTTCAAAATATTTGACTGCAATGTTTTAACGAAATTTGACTTTAACCCCAAAATTAAATTTTGCCAAAAGTTCACCAATACATGAATTAAAGAAAATTGTTTGAATAGTATTAGTTAAAGTACTTTAAGAATGCTTGAATTTCCAATATTTTGTGCTTTTGGGCATTTAATTGCCAGTGAATCCAAAAAAATGGATGATGGATTATTTTCAAAACACCTGTACATACTCAGTGAGGTATCCATAAAGGCTTACTTATTTCATTTTTCTCCAATATATTGCGAATAAGCTTTGCACATTTCAGTTGCGCCTTTTCATTTGATACTTGCTTGAACAATGTACGGCAGACTGCAATTAGTGCAAATGCTTGGTGCGTAAAATCTGACACCATCTTCCGTTCCTCGAAGTCCTTATAAGTCTCAAGTAATCGCGGCATCAGATGTAACAAAATGAATCGAATCATCAAAGATGCAGCATTTTCGTGTCCTTTTTGCTCTTCATTTGATTTCTCTAAGATATGCCCTAAACAATATGTAAAAGTAGGCATTGTTCAGTGACGCATCTGAATGACGTTTCAGTTGAAAATTGACTGTTAGCTACCTTAGTTATTATTCGATGATTACCGTTAGATAGATTTATAACCAGTCAATTTGCTGGAAAACAACTTAATAATTCGAAATTTTAATCATCTCGAAAAATGAAACATAATTCCTGAACAACCGAAAATCAACTTCGTTCCACTTATCATAATTATGAAAATGATGGTAGTATAAAATTTATTGAATAACTACTACTTACACATTTCTACAAGGAAGCCATCACAACGAAAACCGTATTTTGAGATCATCAAAGAAATTACATTGGAGAATGACACAACGGCTTTTGTACATTTGTTATTCCATAATTCAAACGAAGCTGATTCATGAACAAAACTTCCACCTACGTATACAAGAAGCATAGTCCTGTAAATATGGTAATATGAACCAATCAATTCCATACTTTTGAAAACAGTTCAAAAAAAAAAGTTATAGACAAATAAACCTTGAAAAAGAAGAAAGTGCGATAAAAGGTGCGCGAGTATTACTCTTGTATATGTCAATGGAAATGCGCTGCGCCCAATCTAACGCCCATACAAACATATTTTCACGAAGAAGTTGCAAGCATTCTTCGTTTATATCGATATCTTCTTCATTAATCTTTCTAAATAAATTTATTCAAGGAACGGAATCTTACAACTGAACAAATTTGTTTAACTGTTTTTCTTGAATGATAAATCTCAATTTATCTCACAACACATGAAAAAAACACAAAAATACAACTTTTATGTCATATGTTGCTACATAGGAATGTCATCAGTCATATCAGCATCACACATTGCTATGGACAAATATGAAGCAGCTCGAAGATCCATCACCTGTCAAATATTTCAGCGCATTTCGTAGCACTGACTTACAACACCACTTATGAGTACTTGCATCAATTCAAAAAAAGCTTACGACGTTGACCGTTTATTACTCCATCTAATTTATCACTTGAATAAGCTTTTAGTCAT